TGACATTATTTCTGACGGTGTCAACTCCTTAGCTCACATTGTACCCTTCTACTATAGGTATCTATCTTGTGACTTTAACCTAGCTGTCTGGCAATTAAGGATTTTCTCTTCTTTAAAAATGTCAGTGCGTTTTTTTTACGCTGCTAACATCATGCTGTGTTTGGAGATTCTTGAAATTAAGATTCTCAAACTATACTTGTACTGAAAATTATTCTGCCTTAAAGTATGGCAAGAATTTATCGATCGAATTTACTTGATCGAAAACATGAACTTAACATGAAATCTGCTACAGAATTTAGGAATACATATATTGATTCCATAAATCCTTCAGTCACATAATATTTTCTAGGAAAATCCTTAGCTTAAATAAATAAATTGTATTATTTAAAGTCTGGAATTTTCTTAGTCATTACAGAGGAAATCATGGACCAAGTCATTCTTGTTCAGAGACTAAGTCTTCTCCTTTTTTTTTCGTTCAAAATAGCAACTTTATTTGTTAATAGATAATCTCTTTAGATATAACCACTTTTATTTTTAATTGAAAAAAAATTCACACTGCTCGGAAATCATGGACCAAGTCATTCTTGTTCAGAGACTAAGTCTTCTCCTTTTTTTTTCGTTCAAAATAGCAACTTTATTTGTTAATAGATAATCTCTTTAGATATAACCACTTTTATTTTTAATTGAAAAAAAATTCACACTGCTCCAACATAAACTAACAGTCAAAACAGAGATCTCGTTTAATTTTTCAATTTAAGTTTTTAATTTTATTTTACTACAGTAAAAAAATTTTCATAAAAATTCACATTTAATTTTTTCTATTACAATAAAAAACTCTTATAAAAAAATCACATCCCAATTTAAATTCAAAACTTAAATTAAAAAACTGTACCGGACTAGAATGTTTCACGTGAGAGTTTTTTAAGGGGTCTCGCCGGCGGTTTTTTTTTTAGTCAGGCTCCTTATTCTTTAATCATCAGTTTTGACTATTTACCGTACTTATTAAGCGCCGTTTAGTTCACTGATTCGAGTTTTTAATTCGAATTGAGATGTGATTTTATGTGAGAGTTTTTTACTGTAATAAAATAGTTAGATGTGACTGTTTCTGAGAGCTTGTTACTATAGTAAAACTCGAATCGATGAAGTGAACGTGGCCTAAATATCTCCTACCACTTGTTTCCATTCACGTCTCCCACTAACCGCTGATCTAGGCCAACCAATGTCACCACGCCACGCCAAACATTGCTTTACAAAAAAATCAGAGAGTTAGATGGGTTGTGTGTCAGATACTTATCCACATTTGGTCTACTCGAATTTTCCACTGAAAACCGCCGCGCTTTTCCAAGATCCCAGGAACAGTAAGTACTGAAGAATACATGTTCTTTATCTATCTTTTTTTCTTTTCTTTTTTTTAGCTGTTTCTGTTTTTCATTTTCATGATTTGCTCACTCACTTGATGATAATATAGCTGATGTAAATTCTTGCTTCTGTGGTGTGGTTCAAGTTGATCGCTTGTGATGATCATGAAAAAATTATGATCAGGATATACGGTCTTTTTAACATAAATGGTGTGGTTCAAGTTGATCGCATGTGATGATCAGGATATACGGTCTTTTTAACATAAAAGCTATCTGAGTATTTGAAAATACTTGGATTTTTGTTATAGGAAGTTCGAATCATTGGTGATCAGAGTTATTTTCTTTTCTTTTTCCAATTGTTAGCGAAGGAATCTGAGTTTTGGCAAATTATGCATGATGAGAATCTGTGATAGGAAATCTTGCACCATTTATATTCATATATGAAGATTCTCTCGGATCTGGACCATTTAAAGTAGTTTAAAAGTAATCTGACATAGATAAGGCAAGGAATAATTAAAAAATAAGGTGTTTTTTTAGTAGGCCTGATCTATTAGTGCCGTTAAATTTTTACTATTAAATCACGTTAAAATTACATTAAATTAAAAAAATATACATAATAAATAATTTTTTATACAGATTTAACAGTTAAAAATAGAATATACTGATCCTAGAGTAGGTCATAAGAAAATAGTAACCAGCAAGTCTTCTTAATCAGTAGGCACCAACATCGATAAAAATGCCAGTCATGACCAATACATGTCTGTGTTTATATTAATTTTACAAGATCTCAAAATATAATATATCAAAAATGACCTATTATATGGTGTTTTTTGTTTTTTACCCTATCACAACATTCTCCATTTTATACGAAGTAAGAGTACTTTAATGCCAATAATAATAATAATAATAATAATAATAATAATAATAATAAGACTCTGTTTATATGATTGGACATTCTATATTCCTTTATTCAAGACTCAACTTAAAACGATTAAAAAAAATAGACTGAACTTCAATTCTTAACCTTATTTTAGTCATTTTTTAGGCAAAATTTAGGCGCATTACATTGTTCTGATATTGAAAAGTTCTGTATTTTGTGATAATAGTTGGACAAAAGAATAATTTAGTTGAAGAGTGGAGAATGGCATTAGTATCAGGAGTAAGGTCTTCACTGAATCCAAATGCCCCTCTCTTTGTGCCTGCTGCGCTGCGCCAAGTGGAAGATTTCTCTCCTGAATGGTGGGAGTTGGTGAAAACTTCGACATGGTTCCGCGATTACTGGCTGAGCCAGCATCAGGAGGAGGATTTCGATGGCAGCACCTCCGACTATGCTGACGCTGATGATGGCGCTTTTGATGCCGCTGATATATTGCCGGATGATTTTGATATAGGCTTAGATGAAGAGTTCTCTAGCCTAGATATTGGTATAGAGGAACCCGCCTTGTTATCTGAGGATAAAGGAGAAGCAGGCTTGTCCCTTGCTGATGAAAAAAGTAGAAGTATGCCTCTTAATGGTAAGCTTAGAATTCTACTTTTTTGGTTGTTATATATTGATAAAGTATGCTTGATGTAGAAACAAGAGAGTGTTAGTTTACCAATTCATCCCAAAAGCTTAAGCTATTAGGAGGTGGGCCAACAATAGTTTTATACTTTAACACTCCCCCTCACGTGTGGGCTAGACAGTGGGCACTCGTGTGGGTAAATTAATTGAAAAAGCCCAACACGTGAATATTTAAGCCCGAGATATATTAAAGACCCAACACATGACAATTTTTAAATGGGGATAAAGAGTGCAATTACGGGAGTTTGAACTCAGGACCTCCCGCTCTGATACCATGTTAGTTTACCAATTCATCCCAAAAGCTTAAGCTATTAGGAGGTGGGCCAACAATAGTTTTATACTTTAACAGAGAGAATAGATAGAATTTAGATAGATAAACAGAACTAACGGAGATTGGTAAAGAAGGGATCAAAATCTCAATACTCATTCATCAACTACATTGGAATTGAAAATACAATCACTTGGCCTATTTTTACAGAAACAAAACATAATAAGATAAAACTCATTATGAGATAAACTTAACTAAATCCTAAATTATGAATGAATATATATTATAGATTGCTAATGCCTATATGCTCTCTGTGTTACTCAACAGTTAGCAAGCACTTATTTGAGTCATAGAATGCTTGTTATCTGAAACAGTTCAAAAATGGAAGCATAATTTTAATTCCTATTTTGTTTTTCCTATGAAATAAAAATCATTTGCATGTCTGAAGTCTTTGGTGCTATTATAGGTCTAAAAATGGATGCTAAAGCAATCTTGAAGAGCTTGACTATTCCAAAATCGGCAAATGAGAGACGTCCAATGTCGCCTGCAGGACCTGCAAAGTACCGAGAGAAGCCGACTAAGAATGTGAGCCCTAAATCCACCCTGCGACGGATTCAACAGCCCCGCTGAAATAGTTATGCAGAGGAGGGTCTTCTGTCACATTGGAATAGTCCTTGCAATAGTAGCTTTAGTCTCTACTCAATAAAGTTAGGAAATGCATATAACAAGGTTGTGACCTGTGTCATATTGTCTTTGATCTTTGGTGGGTTTTCTGCTAATTAGTTTAATTCGAGATTTACTGTTTGAAGGAGTGGATTAAATGTGAGTGTGTCCACGGTCTATGTTGATCTTTGGTTGCTTGAATAACTGTTGTAGCTGAAGTTTGCCAAAGAGGAAGAATAAAATGAAAATCTTTCTCCGTAACAATACACCGTTCAAGCTGCTTGGTTTTGCTGTTTTGTTCGGATTGGACTGTGTTATACCGCTAATTACTCAAATTGTTTCTCTTATTTTGATTAGTAGTTTAGCTTTTGGATTTACCATACAAGTGCCTCTTAAAGAGGCTAGAAATGGCATGCATTCTTGGAAGAGCAAATAGAGCTAGAGGTCTGATTGCAGACTATAGAAGAAGAGATCTTCTACGTATAGTCGATGCAAATTGTTTCCCATAAGCCCAAATCACTCTACTTCTACAGATGGTCAACGCAAACTAATATCATAATCTCAAATCATTATGTTTTCTAGAAAAAAAATCATTATGTTATTAATGGGTCATCATAGGCCACACTTGCAATCCTTTCTTGGTCTACCAGTAAAGCCTCAAGCATTTCTCCATATGAATCCTTAGAAATGAAACAGGCAAATATCACTACATTATGGCATCGTTTATTTCACCGATTCGAGTTTTCAATTTCAATTTTGCTACAGTTAAAAGTTCTCATAAAAAGTCACATCTAACTTTTTTTCTGCGACAGTGAAAAGCTCTCACATAATATCACATCTCAGCTCGAATTCACGAACTAAACGAGGCCTATGATTCCATGGTAACTGCTATGCCCCTTTGCAAACAAGAAACTGCTAAAACGGTCTATTCTTATGCCTGTTCCTGTTTTTAGTGTCTTCAATCATGCCATACAGGTTACAAAAGAAGAACAAATCACCCCTTTTATTTTGGACAGAACTTAGTAATGGCAACTGCATCTGAACTTTTGGCATCATTAGAAGTCATTATAGGGAAGAAGCCGTCACCGCTAAACCTGAGGCTATCAAGACTGTTGTGAATAGTAAAGTGACATCAGGCATATACACCTGCCAATGAACATGTTCGTTGTTAAGGAAGTTCAACATTGCTGAAACCAGGTTTGGTTTTAGGTACTCTTTCCAAGAACTTCGTTGAGTTCAAGATTGACATATGCATGAGAAGGATAAGCTTCTTCCTAACATGCTGAAGGAGAAAACGCAAGCAAAGACATTGGAACTTCTTCTATCAAGACTATGAAGGAGAGGCAAGCAAATCCTACAACAAAAGAAAAGTGTTTCCATTGCAACAAGGAAAGACATTGAAGAGGAACTGTAAGGAGTACCTTGCCACTGTGTAGAACAAAGAAGGTAATGTACTTTCCCTAGAAATTTGTTAGTAGGGATTCTGCAAATTTATAGAATATTGTAGATTCAGGTGCCGCTAATATGTCTGTAATTCTTTGTTGGGGTTCGGGCAAACAAACTAGGAAGCTGCATAATGGGCCTTTCGCACTTAAAGTAAGCACAGGGCTGACGGTTTCAACTGATTAAGTGGGAGTTGTCAAACTTCATTTTGGAACTATGTTTTTATTTCTTAAGAACTGATATTATGTACTTGCCGTGCCAAGAATTTGATGTCCGTTAGTTGGTTAATTGAACAATTGTACTCTGTTTCTTTTTCAAAAATAAAAACTCGGCTCCGTCTCGGTCGTGCCTTTATTTCTGTTGCCTCTGCGTTTTTTTTTTTTTAAAAAAGAAGTAATGTTTTGATTTGCAGAATTTCTTGTATTACTTCACAAAGAGGGCCATCATGTTCAAATCACTTTGATCGATTGGCATATCATCGTCTTCTTCTCCATGAATTGATCCCCTTAAGGCAATTACTTCTTGATTTTCTTTCTTGTAATTTCATGTGGCATCAAGGAATCGACCAATTCATCTAGTTGTAGGGTTAAGAAATCCATAGCTTCTTCCAATGTAGTTCTCTTTACATTCCAAGACATAGCTAGGGATCTGAAAATTCTGCTCATCACTTCGCTTATAGGAAAAGATCTACTAAGATCATTAATTTGTTCACGATATTGGTAAATCTGGTGTACATTTGGACACTAGATGCATGCTTTTTCATTTTAATTATTATTTTAGCGTGCTTGACTTGACTGGTTCCTTCAGGCACAACCTTCAGTGTATTTCATATACTTTGTGCGGACTTACATTAAGGTCTCGTTTATTTCACCAATTCAAATTTTCAATTTCAATTTTACTACAGTTAAAAGCTTCCACAAAAAGTCACATCTAACTTATTTTGCTACTGTAAAAAGCTCTCACATAAAATCACATCTCAACTCAAATTAAAAATTCAAATCTACGAACTGAACGAGACCTAAGATATTTGTATCTTCAGTGTTTTTGGCGTTCTATAGAATATTTTGGGTTTGTACATTTTATAGTAAAAAGCATATGTTGCTCCTTTCACTCAGTCAATGTCCTCCATCACGCCGTTCCCTGTTAGTAAATAGGAGTATAGGATATTATTCACATAGTCATGTATGTAATACCTGAGATTTAATTAAGCCTTAAGCCCATAAAAAATAAATTTTGTAAATTAAAATCATGCACCACATTTACCATTTACCTAAAAGTTATTTGTTGGCATTATATTTTATTATTATAGCTATCATATGATTTTATTAAACTTATAGCTTTACTGATCGAGTTTTCAGTTTTAATGTGCAGTGCAACTAGCTCGATGTGGAAACTCAATGTGCTAAACTTATGAAGAAAAATGATATTTATTATGATTATTTGATATGATATTTTACCTCTATTATGATTGATTTAATGATGAATCATTATTTTATATTTTTATTATATGGTTTTATGTAAATGTGTTGAGGACTTAGTTGTTATTTTGAGTTTTTGGTGAGAGAAGTCTATGTTAGTAAATTGAGTGAACTTTAGGCACCTAATTGAAGAAGAAAAATAGAGACTTTAGAGCTGATTTTATGAGGTTAGGATAGCTATTAAAGGCTTAGAAAAACCTAGGCACTTGTTCTATTATAAGGTCATTTTACTTTTGTTTAGTTTCTATCAAGTTTAGACTTCCTTTTTCGGTCTATTTCAGCAAAAAATCCTAGAACTCCGACCATAGCACTTCTTCTCTCTTCTCACTCCTTTTCTCACCCAAAACTCATAATCAAACATAGGTTTTTAAGAGAGAATGAGCTAAAGACTCAACCAGCCCATCTCAACTCGTTTTCAACCTAGAACCAAAAATAACCACCAAGTTTTGAGCTTCTATTCACTTGGGAACACGTTTTTCTTTGAGGTAACTTCTTTCTTATGTTAGAAACTAAGATTTCAGAGATTAAGATGTTGAAATCCTACTTGAGATTCGGATTTTTGATGGGGCTTATTATGCATGTTAGTTGTAGACTCTTAAAAATGAGTTTCTTGAGGTTTTGGTTCAAATATTGGTTTCTAGGTGAAATTGATGATTCTAGCTTGATATTATTGATAATTATTTGAAGATAAACTCTTATTAAGATGATGATTCATGTATGTCAGAGTGGTCTTTGAAGATTAAGATTTGCATGCTAGGTATTTGATGAAATGTTCAAATATAAGTCCTCTGTACAGCCTATGTAGATTCTGTTTTCGTGCCATATATACGTATGATGTTGACTGATCTTATATTTTTTTTATTAAAGTATACATCTCAAGCTTTATGTGAGTTTTTGAATCACTCCAAGCGGATTTTTCTACATTTAGTTATGAATTTTATAAGTTCAGTTAAAAAGCTTTCATTTTCCTGACGAGATTGTACTTCAATCTGGATTTCGGGCTGTTTTTGGTTAGATTGAAAAATCTGAAACCCATCATGTAGTAGCTCTAAAAAGAGGGTTTTGAGTCTACTTTTATTTGCCACTGGTCTCATAATATTTTGAGTTTTGATGAATTTGTTATGAGTAGTTTCGTAACAATGCGTAGTTATTTGTTTCGTTAAATGTATGAATGTGATTTTTGAAAGCTGTGGTTTTAAAGGTTAATTAGCACATTGAAGGCGCCCCACAACCAGCTAATTTGTGCTTGCAAAGTGGTGATCAAAATTTAGGTAAGTAGAGTTAAAGCATTTTCAAAACTGCATCACAATACTTATTTGACATAACTTGTTCAGAATTGTGATTATGCAAGTTTATTCTCTTATGAAATTCTTATATGATTATGTTCAAAGAGTATTCATGATTAATTATTTTGAAAGATATTATGATTTATGCTTATTATGTTTTTATGTTTTAAGAGATTTTATGGTATGGTATATGGATGAGAGGCTGGGTAAGCAGGTGTGTGAGGGACTGGTGCCCCAAATTAGAGAAACTGTCTCTTTGAGACAACTAGAGAAAAATGCTAGTGAGAAGTCTCTTGTTGATCACAAGAGAAAGAGATTCTAAAAACCCCGCTTAGTGTTTAAGAGAAGAGAATTGGCCAAAATTAGAGGTCTTGTACAGAGAGGCTTACTTAGAACTGAAGTTCTGTATCATACCTAAACTAAGAATAAGTATGAAAATTTATAAACAATGTTTAAAAAAGAGATTTTAGCCACGGAGATTTTAGATATTTACTTTATTTGAAATCTACTTGCTGAGTTTTTGCTCATTAGTTTAACCTTGTGATGCAGATGATGTTGTTGTTACCGAAGAGTAAAAAAAAATGATTTCCAAGGTTGGCTGAGTACGTCAAGTCCTACATATGACATCTTGCTTATATGTACTTCCAAACAATAGATGGGCTCAAAATGTTTTTTTTTTTTGTTATTGCTTTTGAATAACTGTTTAATGTCTAAGATTTGTGGTTGTAATCATTTTACGCACTGACTCATTTTGTTTAAAAACTTTTAACAAAATATTGTGATAAAATCAACCATAAGTTTTTGCATCTTATAAATGACATTGTTTTAAATATAGAAAGTATGTTTTAAGTAGCACCACCTCACTAACTTCGGCCTTAGACCGGTTTAGCGATGAGAGCGTTACAATGTATATCCCAATGATACATCATTCATAAACTTCTACGAATCCTAATTATTAGTTGTATTTACGACAAGTATACACTTTAAAGTACTTATTACAAATCATTCAGTGTTTGCCACACTTGATCGTTATCATGTTGGTTTACATTCACACTTTCAGCAACACAATTAAAACCATACAAGTATTTTTTTTCCTAATATATTACATAAATAAACCTTACAATATATATTACATGGAGTAAATCCAACTAATATCTTGCAATTATTATTATTTACATATATACATGCTGCAACTCCATTATCTGCTATTTTTGTCAGGGTCTCTGCGTCGTTTGCTTCAAATGCTCGAAGTTATTTTCTAACTCCACGATTTGTGAATGCATGTGGTATATAGCTTTCTTCGCTTCTTGAAGCTGGTGTGCAATCGTCATGGGCAGAGAAGTGCCCCGAGAAGTTGACAACTCTGGCCGCATCCCATAACCAAAACCCTCGTTCTGCCGGCCAGATTTCTTTCCGAGTAAATGCTCCCAATACTCTGCGCTCGATAGGAGAGTAAATCGTAAACACAGACTATTATTTTGTGGTATTCTTTTGCACCATAATTATCTCATATTAGCTTAAGCCTTAATAGGACTATTAATCAATTCTATCTTCGCTACTTTCCCCCAAAAGAAAAATGAACTTTTTTTTTAAAGAAAAAAAATGAACTTTCCATCATAAAGATTTCTTGTCAGGAGAATTGTGGACGTTTGGTTCATAGATTCAGAACCATGATTCAGAATCATTCTCGGTTTACATGTTTTTTGTGAGAGAAAATACTGTAGCGAACCATGAACCATGATTCAAATCATGGTATGAATCTCCTTACTAAACGGAAATTTAAATGGCCGTTTTTCGGCCACCCTTTTAAATAAATCACTGAGATTGTTTAAATTTTAGCCAAATAGTCAAACTTTTTATTTTAGGAAAATGACCCTTTTTCTACAATCATTGAAACTAGAGTCATTTTCTAATTTTATAAAATTTCAACCATTTACTAAAAAAAACCTATAAAAACCTGTAACAGTTTCTATGGCTCACCAACGCGCTCTTCAGTTCGAGTCACAAACACTTGGGTGTTCGGGCACATATCCCTCGTTGCTTCCTCCTCAAATGACATCAGTGCCATTAAATATGATAGGACAAAGCCCTACCACAAGTCGACAAACACCAACTACCGCCACCCTTATCCAGCCCACGACAGGTTCTCATCCCGACCCAATTCCACCTGCCAACTGCATTCCAACCACCGCACCTCCAACTATCGCATGATTATCACGACATGTTGGACTTTTTTGCTTTACTTGGGGAGAAAATAGCCACCGTCAAATGGCCTACTCGAACGCAGGATGCCACAGACCTATTTGTTGATAACTTTGATGACCCCGACCTAGATATTAATGTTGCCTATCTTCGAAGCTGAGGAAACGAAAGAAATTCCTGAAGAACAAATTAGTGGGACTTCGGACCATACTTGTCATTTGACGAAGTTGTTTGACTCCCAAAGTCGCCGAAGATTCATGGCTTCGCAAAAGCCTATTTGTTGTCATCTCTAAAGAGGTAGTCCAAAAACTTTTCTTAGTTATGGAATGACATCATACACCGTACAAGCTTGTTTAGTTGAAACAGGGATCGAAGATACAAGTTAATTTCATGGCAGACCCTCGTGACCCTTTCTGTCGGTGAGACATATCGCATATAAAAGTCTATTACAATGTTGTTCTTACGGATGCGTGCCTTATTCTTTTGGGGTGACCATGGCAATACGACCGATGTGTTAGCCATGATGGTCACACCAACACTAAAGTTTTCAGTTAATGCCCTCAAAAGACCCTTTTGTGCAAAATACTGCAGCAAGTCTGAGTAATCGGATGGGACCACTCCAGTTAACCGAAGATCAGCCAACTTGCTCCCTGATACAACAAAACATTAATTAATTCTTTTTTTATGCTAACCAAGTTTGAAGCAGTATTCAAAGAAGTCGATTTCTTCTACGCCTTGATTTCTACTCCACCAATCCTTCATTCAACATGAAGATGGTAACATTAGAACTTCAAACCCACATCGATGAATTTTTAAATGTTTTTCTTGCGACTTTACCAGAAGGTCTAGCACTGCTACGTGATATTCAACATCACATTGCTCTTGTTCCTGGGGCTGCCCTCATGAATTTTCAATTGCTCGCTAAAGGCCATCTTTGTTAGAGTTTTAGTCCGTGTGTTGTGCCCGCTCTCCTTATTCTTAAAAAAGGTGGCTCATGTTGTATGTGTGTGTGGATAGCCCAACAATTAACAAAAATACCATTTGCTATTGCTTCCTGATGCCGTGACTCGACGACCTACTTGACCAATTAAGGGGAGCCACAATCTTCTCCAAATTGGACCTCACAAACGGTTAGCATCAAATTCGGATTTGTCCAAGTGATGAATGGAAAATGTCTGGTCATGCCGTTCGGACTTTTTAGTGCGCTGAGCACTATCATGCAAGTGATGAACTAAGCATTTCGTCGATTTATCGATAAATTCGTTGTTCTCTATCTTGATGATATACTTTATTTATAGTGCTAACCACTAGGTCCACCCTCACCACTTCTCGGAAGTTTTGATTGTGTTGCATAGATATTATATGCCACCACTAGTAAGTGTGAATTCAGTGTTGATCATGTGCTATTTCTTACGTACCTCATTTCTAAAGACTGTTTAGCCATTGACACAACCAAAATTGAGGCCATCCCTTCGTGGCTGATGCCTCGCATAGTTACTAGAGTACGAAGCTTTCACAGATTGGCTTTCTTATACTGCTGATCTATCCTTCATATTAGTGACATTATGGCACCAATTATGGATTGTTTGCAGGATGGCAAGTTCAATTAGACTGAGGAGGCTGTCAATGCCTTCCAACTTATTGAGCAGAAATTCACTACCACTTCGATCCTCGTTCTCCCTGATTTTTCGCTCACATTCGAGTTGCATAGTGACGTGTCAAAAGCAAGCATTAGGGCTATCCTTAGTCAACAAGGTCAGCTTATAGCTTACCACGCGAGATACTTGTGGGATCTAAAACTCGTTACAGTACTTAGTCAACAAGTCGTTATGCATTGGCGCCATTATTTACTTCACAAAGAGTTCATACTCTACACCGATCATAATGCATTAAACACATTGGCAGCCAAGACAAGATTTTAGCTCTACATGCTTCCTAGACGACATACTTGTAACAGTTCACTTTTGTAATCAAGCACAAGGCAGACACACTTAATCGCGTGGCCGATGCCCTTAGTTGCTATCAGTCCAACCTGGCAATACTCCATGTATTAATTCTAGGGTTTTTTACCTTTTAAGATCTTTATCGGACTAACCCGTTTTCCCTAGGTTATTAACAAGGTCCGTACGGATACCATAGAACCGTACAGAATATGTCCTTCAGGATGGGTTCCTTTTCTCAGGTAGCCGCCTTTGCATACCGGATTGTAGTTTGCGATTTCAGATTATTTATGAGCTTCATGGAGAAGGTCATGCGGGACGTGATTGAAGTATTCTACATCAAGCGCCTCTTCTTATTTTTGGTCCATACTTCGGTGAGATGTGGAACGCTTCTCATAGAGATGCCGCACATGTCAAAGGACCAAGGGGCATGTAACTAATGCTAGACTTTACTTGCCATTGCCCGTTCCCACACAAACTTGGACAAATGTCGATCTGGATATCGTCCTCGACCTTCCTCACACACAATGAGACCATGATTCCATCTTCATTGTCGTTGATCTATTTTCCAAAATGTCCAACTTTATCCCGTTCAAGCGAACTACCGATGCAGTTCAAGTGGCTCAGCTATGTTTCCGAGAGGTTTATTACCTCCACAGTCCCGCTACTTCTATTGTGTTGGATCGTGATTCTTGCTTGAGCCAATTCTCATGGTCTTTGTGGCGGCTCATTAACACAAGCGTTGATATGAGTTTGGCATACCATCCTCAAACAAACGGTCAAACTGAGGTGACTAGTCAGACTTTGATGATCTCTTACGGAGTCTTGTGGGAGAAAATGTGAAGTCGTGGGATGTCAAGTTGGATTAAGCCGAGTTCTCTCATAGTCATGCCAATAACTGAATTATTGCTCTAAGCACATTTCAAGTTCTCTATGGGATCATTCCTCACTGTCCTCTCGATCTTGTTCTGCTGCCAGATAAAACGAGGATGCATAGTAAAGCAGTCAATTTTGCGGAACAACTTCATGTTAAAGTATAAAACTATTGTTGGCCTACCTCCTAACAGCTTAAGCTTTTGGGATGGATTAGTAAACTAACATGGTATCAAAGAGAGAGGTCCTAAGTTCAAACCCCCGTAATTGCACTCTTTATCCCCATTTAAAATTGTCATCATGTGTTGGGTCTTTAATATATCTCGGGTTTAAATATTCACGTGTTGGGCTTTCTAATTAATTTATCCACACGATTGCCCATTGTCCAGCCCACACGTGAGGGAGAGTGTTAAAGTATAAAACTATTGTTGGCCCACCTCCTAACAGCTTAAGCTTTTGGGATGGATTGATAAACTAACACTTCAACATACACATCAGGCAACTCATGCCAATCTCGTCTCTGCTGCCGGCAAGTACAAAGCGGTTGTTGATATGTTGAGTTTCACCCCGGTGATTTAGTACGGGCTGTTTTTACTAAGGGTTGTTTTCCGATTCATGAATGTAACAAGTTGAAGGCTCGAAAGATTGGTCCCTTGCAGGTCACTAGAAAGATTAGTTCCAACGCCTATCGGCTGCGTCTTCCAACTAATATGTGTACTTCGGATGTATTCAGTGTCAAGCAGTTGGTCCCTTTTGCAGGTGATAACGAATTTTTTCTTACTTGGGGGGACTAATGTAGACATCGTGCATTTCACCGATTTGAGTTTTCAGTTTTAAGTTTCTACAGTAAAAAACTCTCAGAAAATGTCACATCTCAGCTCGAATTGAAAACTCAAATTCGCGAAATAAACGAGGTTGTAGTGTATAAGTTGGTAGCTGCTACAAAACGCGTTAACTGGACAGGTTCTAATGGTTAACCGGACAACGAAGGCCCAAATCTAAAGCTTCTTTTAAAAGCAACGTTTTGAATTTCAATTTTAGAGTTTATTTCCTATTAAATTGTTTCCCTTTTGATAATGTCGTTTCCGAATTTTTAGAACTGCAGTAGATCCTTTATTTTGAATTCCAATTTTATATAGGGTAAATTTTTTTAATTTCAATTTCCGAATTCTTTATTTATGGAGGATTAGATGTAATTTTATTTTCAGTTTCGATAATTAATATATATATATATATATATATAAAGAACCGATAATTCTTCTCAATTGCTCGTTTTCGACGTTCCTAGAACTTTGAATTACTAGCATCCATTTTTCCGGTATTCCGCTTCATTAAAAGAGAAGAAAAAGATGTGATAAAATGATGGAAGTTTATACTTGCCTTTGATCCGGGATAGAAACGATAAGCATCCACTCCGATGTTGGTTGTCATTCCCTTCTTCTCCAATATTAGAGTCGACATCTCCATCTGTACTAGGTTGAGACTCCCTTAGGATAACATCTTCTTCTTCTTCTAATTCCTCAATACCATTATTAGGGTTGCTAGTTCCACGTTCACTTGAACTATTATCGCCGCAGAGAGCACTAATTTCTTCTACTTTTGGTTCCCAGCCTCGATAATATTCAATCAAATCAAATTGTGCTGTCTCTTGGAGATATAGCATATGGATCCCACACTTTTTGACTTTGCAGAAGTCTACTTTTTCTTCCAAACTATCAATGGGATAGAATTCAAATAACGCCTCAGTGCTGTTTGAAAATATGTCTTCTAGTCCATGATGAAACGGAGCATACCAGAGGAACACGTGATTCGACTTGAGAAATATTCTGCTCTTATCTTCATCGTCATTATCTTGACTATAACCCCTCCAAAAGCAATTCAATGTACGACTTTCACCATCCTTAAATCGGAAATGGGATTCACAGTAAAAATGGATTTGTGGGTGAAACTTGTGCTCTGCAAACGGAGCTGCTACGACGCACAAAGTAAATCCCAAGAAGTTGGTGTTTTTCCAATGCGGAGAAAGCTCGATACTTATGGAAGAACCCGCACTTTGATTACTGAACCATTCTGGAATTTGATTTCCCGGATAACAAATACTAACGGAGGGATATTCTATTACCTGTAACATGGAAAAAACGGTCATTTAATTAATATTCAGATTATAGAAGAGTTGCATTGTTTTGATTTATTCTAGTAACTGGAGTGAAAACATGGGAGACAGCTTACATGTTTTGATGTAATGCGGGATACAGTTGCCATACGCAATATTCTAAGCTGAGAATCAATTATCAAGTTGTTGCGTGCGTTTTTATCCAATTTGAGGCAGTTGAAAAACACAAGCTTCTCGCTACAAGCATAAAGATGATCCCAACCTCGAGTAAGTGCGGTTTTTGAACTTGACACAGTTTTCAGTGACGTGCAACCATATGCATCAACCGTCTCCAAAGACAACGGAATCTCAGGTAAAGATCGAAGATTCTTGCAATTGCTGATGTACAAGTGTTTCAGCCTAGACAGTTGTTTGATACTTGAGGGTATTCCCTCAATATTTTCATTTCCACTTAAATCCAAACATTCTAATGTGGAGAAGATAAAAAGTTGATCATCAGGGACTTCAAGTACACTGCAGTTATTCAGGTTTAGCTGACTCAGAGAGGGAAAATGGACAAATTGGCCAGGACCAGGTAATGCTTTCAGTTTTGCACAATCGGAAGCAATGAGAATTTCAAGTTTGCTTAAACTATAAATGTTTCTCGGGAGAGACTCGAGATTTTCACACCCTTCCAGCTCTAATACCTCAAGAGCAACTAGATTTCCAATTGAAGAAGGTAACTCTCTGATCCTGGTCTCATTTAAAGAAAGAAACAGCAGATGTTCCATTGCCTCGACGATTTCTGGAAAGCATTCAAATTCCGAGCAACCAGACAGATTAAGATGCTTAAGAGCATTCAATTTGCAAATGCTACTTGGCAACCTCTCAAGCCTTTTGCAATTGCTGAGCTCTAATTTCTTGAGACTAGAGAGACGCTCAATTGATGAGGGTAGATTTTTTATGTTTGTTCCACTCATATATAATTCCTTTATATTCCGTGGAAGTTCTGGAAATTTGTCAAGAGACAAACAACCATTGAGATTGAGAGTAGTGAGCTGATAAAGATGCTGAAAATCAGAAGGAACATCGCACAAGCTCGTACAACATTGAATGTCAATGTACTTTAGGTTTGAAGCTCGAGAGAGATCAGGTACTTGAACCAAGTTCAAAGAGTGACTCAAATCGATCATCTTTAAGTTCTCCAGAGACTGTAACAAAGTAATAAGTTAAGTACACGAGCTTCATGAACATTAATATTGAATTCTCTACAGAAACACAATAGGATTGATCAGGCTTACCAGGACTCCGTTCCAAAGTTTCTCAAGCTTGCTGTGTGATAGATTAAGTTCAACAAGATTTTTCGGTGAGAAATTTTGAGGCAAAGAGGTCGAAGGATAACCCTCCCAGTGGAGATACGTGAGTGTATCCGGAAGATAAGTCAAATCTCGATGAATATACCCGGTCTTAGGAGTATCAGTACTGCTTGAATAAATCTTGAGCAATCTTAGATTAGCCATCGCTTTGAAGGTTCTCGGATCCAAGTGCAGTTCCTCTTCAATCTCGGACATGTCTAGGGATAATCCTTTAATTGCAGCAGTTCCCTAAATTTAAAAAATAAATAAATAAATGAAAAGTTAATTAAAACGTATGAATGAGAGCAGAAGGCTTATTTATCACGAATGCTTTCAATTTATTGAATTGTTCTTTTTTTTTTTTTCCCCTCTCTCTAAAAGATTAATGCAGTGAAACTTACTTTATTATATTTCAGGACCTCATGTGCATCTTTAGCAGACCATAACCTACTGTGAATTCCAGGCTTCATAAAGGATTCATGACGTGCTATTTCACGACCCATTTCTTGTATTAGATCATGCATTTGAAGCTCATTGGAGTGTCCCAAGGTTATCAGAGATTTAGCAATGAGATCATCTATAGCAACACTGATGAAAGTAGGAAGATCATGAGCTAGTATTCTTTCCACAAGATCTCGCTTTTCGCCTCTGTAGAAACATGCAATGTCAAGAAATATTTCCTTTTGATTGGAATCTAAAGCATCATAACATATTTTCAGAATTTTTGCAAATTTGATCTTAGGAGCTTCCTTCATCTTAGTCAGCATATCTTCCCATGCTTCAATACCCCTGTCATACAAATTGGAACACAAAATTTTAAGAGCCAATGGGTATCCGTTAGCGTAATCCACAATCTGTTTCGACAGCTCCCAGTATTCTTTTGTGGGGGAAATTTTTCCAAAACAAGTAGAATGAAAAAGTTGGAGAGCTTCCTGGTAATTTAGTTCTTCAATCTTGTATACGTCCGCTCCAATGCTCTTAAGCACTTGGGCATCTCTAGTTGTTACGATTATTCTACTTCCATGGCCAAACAGCTCCTGTTTGCTTGCCAAAAGTTTAAATTGGTTTGAATTGTTGACATCATCAAGGACAATAAGGACCTTTTTACGGCGGAACTTTGGCCCAAAAGATGGATAACTCGAATCTTGATTTCTCTTCCCCAGTAGCTCCGCAAGAAGCTTATTTCGTAACTCGATTAACCCATGCCTTTTCGATTCATCCTTGACATTCCAAAGAAAGTAGCAACTATCGAAATGAGAGGAGAGTTTATTGTACACAACATGAGCTAGAGTAGTCTTACCCATACCACCTGGACCAAAAATGCCTACAATGCGAATCGCATCTGGTGAGCCAATGCGTAACATCGATTCAATTTTCTCAATACGTTCATCAATCCCAACCAAGAGCTCAGAATAATTAGACGGTGATATATTTAACTTCTTCACTACATCTTCAACAATTTCCCCAACTAATTTCGATTCAGGCCTAACATTGAAAGGGCAAACAACGATAGAAGTTTAGCGTGAAGTGCAACAAAACTAATGTAAATCGTGTAAACATATGTATGAACTTATATTTGTATAGTATGTTATAGACTACCAATTTCTCCATATCCCCCTTTTGTGATTAGAATCTCCTTATTATTTTCCTTAATTTTATTTCATTTATATCATGATATGATGGAACGTTGAATTTATTAGATAGCAGATCTCATATGAAAGCTGGTTTATGTACCTGCTAGAAAATATGAACAGACGTCACATAAAAACTTTCCCTAAGAATAATTTGATCGCTTCACAAGTTAAAATATCAAGTATATAAATTTATATATTTACTATAATTCGAGTATATATTGTTAATGAAATTAAAAACAAATTTTATATTTTTTGAATAAACATAAATATATGGTATAAAAAGATAAGTAACCGAAAACTATTTTCAATCTTAAATGTTAAACACTTGACAGGATCGCATAATTTCACATCCGTTAAAAAAATGAATCAAAAGGACGCGTTTCCATGAAGAGGTCACGTAGTTTGTTATAAAACGGAGTTTAGAAATGTGCATGTTTATGCTTGTAGTGTAAATGTCCAAAAAACATAACAAAATAACTCTGGTAACTCGGTGTTTAGTAGCTTATTTGTGTAATGACATATGATGTCCATTTTGATAGTGTACAGAACTTTCCAATGAAGATAATGTCATTATTTTTCTTTTTGGCAGGGGATATATAATAGATTTGAGCACGTAGGCTAAAGGAAAGATGGAAATTGCAATTATTGAAGAAATGAAGAAATAATATGATTATCTCTATAATTATCTTTTATCTTAAAAATTAGATTTTTTTAAAGGAAAAATGTAATAAATAACAGATTTATAAAATTAAATTAAGTGTATAGTAGATTCTAACACTATTTGAAGTAAACAGCAGTTTACCGCGTAAATATTTCATTTATGACTAATAAAAAACTTTTTTCTACGTAAATTTTTTTTTACAACTGTTAAGAAAAAAATTTCCACGTAAATAAAATTTTTTACCACATAAATTATTTTTCACCAAGCGTAAATGACACATTTACATAGTAAACTGCTATTTACTTCAAATAGTTTCAAAATCTGCTATCTTAATTTAGTTTCAAAAATAAGCTATTTACTACCATTTCTCTCTCTTTTTTTTTATTTACTAGTTTGAGTTAGATTAGAAGATAAGTGATAAGAATAATTGATAAATTCAATTTAAATAGATTATATTTATCTTATAATTAGTTACTTTTGTCCATCCCTGTTGTTTGGAGATTAGATTAATAATTATCTTTTATTTAAAAGTTTGAGTAGTTTTACTAATTAGTCATTAGAAGATAAGTTCCTAGTTTAAATTATTTAGATATTAGATTAGTATTAGATTCAATTTTAAACTCCTTTTGTATCTATATATATTGCATTCTCGTCAATGAAAATCTTGTACACCATTCTCCAAAAGGCTAAATTTAAGGGTGTTTAGGAAATCCGTCAATCCGATTGATTCGGAAATTCAATCTAATTCAAGGTTTTAGATTGGATTGAAAAAAGTTTTGAATCGGACACGAATTGAGATTTTCATAGTATGAAGGTTTTGGATCGGACTGCGGATTGAGCACTTTCCAATCCACAAATTTAGAACCATATATATATATAATTTTTATAATTATATATAAAAAAATTTATAAGTTAATTTTTTAAAAAACTTTTTTAAAAATTTGTTATGTATAAAATAATTTCTGAAACCAATATCCCAAGTATTACTTCAGAAATTGTGAATGTTGAATTACTTTAAAGTAACGAATATGAGCAATGAAGATTTCATTTTGATTTTGACTGAATCTATTTTGTTATTGTTAATGGGGTTGTAACAATCTAGATTTCTTTGTTTTTTTTTTTTTGGGTGCTTAAAGTAACAATTTAGACTCATGTTGAACAACTTTATGTTACAATTATGCTATGTTTATTTGTGTTTATTTTGTATGTATATTATTAATTCATATTTTTAAAGGTTAGTATCTGTGAATCCGCGAGTCTAATCCGCAAAATTCAATAGATTTTTTGAATTGGATTGGATCCAATCTGAAAAGGTTTTAGATTGGATATGGATTGGAATTTTTTTAATCCGTAGTTTTGGATCAGATTGCAGATTGACCTCTAATCCGCAAATTTGGAACGTGAAAACCCCTAACTAAATCTATTAATAAGTACTTAGTTTAACTTATTATTAGGTTTAGTTTAGGATTGCTTTACTCGTATATTACGTTCATTGGTTGATATCTGTTAATTATTAGACCACAATTGTAACACATTTTTAAATTTAGAGTCCTATTTCTCAAAATTAATTTGCCGTCCAAATTGCCAAATACTTATAAACCATGGTGCACCAGTACAATTAACCCTTCTTGTTATAGTCTACAATTTTAGAACTAGGGGCCTAAGAAAGATATAAGGGAAATTGTAACATATAACATAATTATTTTAATTAATGAGTACATATATTTTTAAAAAGGTTAATTTGCAGCAGAGAGAGAATGAATGGAAGAGACAGAGATTTACAGAGGAGAGAGAATGAACGGAAGAGAGAGATAGTGAAGGCAATTGGGGTTTGAGGAGAGAGAAAGTAATTGGGTTTGATGAGAGAAGGAGAGAGAAGAGGGTGCGAGATGGAGGAGAGAGGGGAATGAAATCAGGGCTTGTGGTATAGGAATGGGGTAATTGGTATTTTACTCGATTAAAACAGGGAATTTTAATTTATATTTACTTAACCTATCTTAATATCTGCTATTTGTTTTAACTCGGCTATGTTCGAGCTCGGCAACAGAAGAAGAAGATGAACACAGGAGAAACCAACCCAGACTTATATAGTTCTTTCTTTGAATATAAATGGATTAGATCAATCTTGAGTATATATGCTTAGCCATTCTATGTATATAGAAGTTGATCTCATCTAAACTTCAAATATTAATCGTCTAAGAAAGAAAACTTAAATTTTACTTACCGAATGTCAAACGAACTCCACCCAGATAAGGACCTAGCTGCTTCCAAAGCTCTTCTCCACTCATCGACCTCATCTATAAAAGTAGTTTCTACTTTACTGCCCTTTTGTTTCGACAAATTTGATGGATCGACATGGTAGAAAACTGGCACGACAAATTGCCCTTTTCCTTTGCATTCCAGTACATGGACGAGCTCATGTAGGCATTTCGGAGAAGAAGCATAATTTTCTGAAAAAATAACAACAGAAAGTTTTGATTCTTCTATAATTGCTTTCGTAGCTCCAGATGAAATTTTTTCATCTTCCTTCATGAGATCTTCGTGAGGATTCCAGTAGGTCTTGATCTTTTTCAGACACAAAGCCGAGTATAGATGACTAACAAAATTATCACCTACGTCCGCGGATCTGAAACTTAGAAATACGTCGTACTTCATTGGATTTGGTGTGGAGATAGAAGAATAAGAAGAAGAAGGCATATTGATCAGCAGAGAATTCAAACAAGAAAAATGGCGAAAACACTTCCCTGTTAACCTGCCCCTTTGTATTTAGAACCGGAAAGCCTGTGAAGGGTGACAGATCTGTAATGCACGCGAGCGACCCCAATAAATCAAAATAAAAAATTTTATATAAAATTAAAGTTTATGACTTATCAACGCTATGGGACCCACCCATGGTCTCAAAACAAATTGAGATGTGGGACCCACCCACCTGACTTAAAAATGAATTCGTGATATGGGCCCCACTGTGGCCTAAAAAATTTGTGACAGGAGGCTCACCCTTCTTACCTAAGCTAAAAGGAATTTGCTATGTGGGACCCACCTGACCTTAAATATCGTCGCAGTCTCGTGGAGATAATTGAAGATACTGTGGATTAAGAGATTGTTTGGTTGAAATATTTTAAATTATGGTTAGTAATTTATTATAATGGTTTTTTTTATAAAATATATATAAATTAAAAATAATTTTAATCTCATAATTTTAATTTATGAGTGAATCGTCTCTTGAATAAAATGAATGGGCGATTCTGCAGTCCCATCAGTAAGACGTCCCGCTTTTATTACCTCAAGATAGTCTCGTTTATTTTACCGATTCGAGTTTAGAATTTGAGTTTTATTACAGTAAAAAACTCTTAGAAACAGTCACATCTAACTTTTTTACTATAGTAAAAAATTCACATAAAATTATGTCTTAACTCAAATTAAAAATTTAAATCGGGTCGTAAAAACATTTAGAATCTGACGGTTAGAAATAATTGTTCTTTTGTCTTTTTGTTTTTTTTTTTTTTTGCAAGTCTTGGTCTTCTTTCTTTCTTTTTTCTTTTTGCAAGTCTTGGTCTTTTTTTTTTTTTTTCCCCCGATCCGAGTCCTGGTCTTTGTTTGGCAGCAGCAAAAAGTGGTAGGATGGATGAGGATGAAATTTTTTTTTTTGCTATTCGGATGAGGATGAAACTTGAAAGGACAAGAGACATGCACAAAACTCACTGTGGCACCGAGGCCGCCCCGTTTTCCTCGTGAGCACTTCTGTTCATCCTCTCAGATACGAATGAAGCTAATTTGTTTGGTGTTTTTTCTTTTTTAAAAATACTATTATTTTTTATTTTTTAATTATTAAATATAATTAAAATTACGTTAAATTAAAAAAGTTATAAAATAGATAAATTTTGATATAGATTTTAATTATTAAAAAATAAAAAATATCAATGTTTTAAAAAGCATTAAAATTTTTTTTAAAATGAATCTTATTAAATAGATAGACGGAATTTAACTTGATGAAATTCACTATTATATGAATATTGGTGGTTGTCCAGGATTAATCCCTTTTTTACTTTTCTCATTTATGTTTATTGCATTTGGTTCATTATTTTAGTGGCTTTCTCGCTCTTGTAATAAAAAGATGGTTTCTCTGTACTTCGATAATTTTCTTGTGTATGCTCCGCAAGATTTGGACGTGTTCTTTTGTTCAAAAAATTCAAAAAAATATAACTCAAGTTTCAACTTTATTCAAGTTCACGTTATTTTAAGTTTCAATTTTATTCAACTTCACTCAACTTTATTTAAATTACAACTTCAACTCAAGTTATAACTCAAATTTAACTCAAAAACTACACTCAAGTTACACTCTAAAAGAACAACCTCTTAATTTCTTGTGGTGTCGATAATTTCCTTGGTTTTGGAGTTTTTGTTTCTAACAATTGATTTTTTTTCTAGACTAATGGTTTTCTTTTTTGAGAGTAGATTATAATAATTTTGTTAAATGAGTTTTTATTACGCTTGATTATTAATGTGCTAAATGAGTATTTTTGATTGGATCTCAATACTTTTGTTTATTTCTGTACTTCATTCGTTTTTATTATTAGATTCAATATTTATTTGTAGTCGAATATTCCTGTATTTAATAGTCATTTACATCAAGATGGTCATTTTACCATATCTCATTGCTTATATCAACTTACTAATTAAATAAATTTTCAAAAAAAAAAGCGACTTGTCCATCCAATTTCTTGGTAAAGTACTACAAAACAAGTCTTCCTAACAAAAGAACAAGAGGACGCCTGGGATCCGGCTGTAATGACAATATTCTTCCCCAAAAAAACTTCATAGGTTATTACAAAAAAGGTTCGGAAGGCGACAATAAATTAAGGCGTTTCACGAATTTAAGTTTTTAATTTGAGTTGAGATGTGATATTTTTTTAAAATTTTTAACTGTAGTAGAAAAAATTAAATGTGATATTTTCTAAAAATTTTTAATTGTAAAAATTTAAAATTAAAAACTTAAATAGATAAAATGAATGAAACTTAAAATTAATTGTGTTTCCAAAGTTTTTTTAGTTTATTAAATAAATTTTTTAAAAAAGCGATTTGTCCGTCTAATTTCTTGGTAAAGTACTACAAAACAAGTCTTCCTAACATAAAAAACACGAGGACGGCTGGGATCCAGCTGTAATAACAATATTCTTCCCCATAAAAACTTTATAGGTTATTAAAGAAGGTTTGGAAGACGACAATATTTCCCAATAAAATAATTGTGTTTCTAAAGTTTTGGGGGAATGTAAATTGCAATGATGTCCTTTTTCTATGTTGTGTTTTTCGTGTGAGCGTTCAGTCCTTTTACACAGCACTTACAAATGTCTCATGATAGTTATCGTAATTGATTATTCCTAGTTGTTAGTGTTATCATATTGTTAAAGTTGCTAACAAGTGAGATCAGATGAGCCCAAAGCATTCACGACATGAGTTAAGGTAACTTGGGTTTATATTTTAATTTGAGTTAAGATATATTTAAGTATAATTTGAGTTAAGAATTTAATTTGAATTTGTATTTAGATGTGTATATTTAAGTTATGATTTGAATTAAAAATCTATTTAAATTTGTGTTTAAACATATTAAAACTTAAATTTATATTTTAATAGTATTTTAATAGAAACAGAATGATGATTTAAAATTTTAAATAGGGTGTATGAGTGGAGTTTTGTCTCTTTACTTTGTGAACATAAAAAAATAATCATATCAAACGAAATTAAACGAAAAAGTTATGACGTTTTTAAGAATAAAAAAAAATTATTTATTAATTTAAATTTGAATTTAAAAACTTGAGTTAGAGAGAGGCAAGAAGCAATGGGTTACAAAAAGATACCGTCACCCCAAGGAGATTCAGATTACCACAGCACTAGTTGTCCAAGCAAGCCATCCCCAAGTTTTTTCGGATCTGAGTAATCTGGAAGGAGCGAATCAAAGGAAAGGGGAGAGAGAGAGAGCCAGGACAAATGAGAGAGAGAAGAGGATACGAAACGAAATAGAAGAGTTAACTCTAAAATTTTAAGTTTTATTATAATAAAAAATTTTAAAAATAATTACATTTAATTTTTTATTATAATAAAAAAATTTATATAAAATTATATCACAATTTAAATTAAAAATTTAAATCAATAATTTTTTAACTGATGTGGCACCATTTAGTTGGATAGACGGACAAAGAGACAGAATAAGGCATTAGATGATCTGCGTCCCAAATCGTTGGTTTAAAAATTCAACGATTAAAGCAGAAAAGCTTTTTCATTATAAATGCACCCTATTTTTTACTTTCAACATGTCAAGATTCCAAGGTTTATTAATTTTAAAAAATAATTTAAAATGGATCTATAAGCATTCCATGTGGTGGATTTTAAAAAATCAACAAACAACAAGTTGGTAGTTGTTGAACAGTTCAACGGATACTTAAGCGCGTCAATTTTTTTTTTTTTTTTGGGAAAGGGGGTCTTTTTTTTAAATGGAGAAGCGTCTTCCTCTTATTTTTATTTTTTATTTTATTTTAAGGAAGAAGTGTGTTCATTTTTTTTTAGGAAAAATTGTGTTCATTTTGACTTTCAAGGAAAAAGAGTTATTAGAGTGGAAAAGATAAGAGAAAAAATTAAAAATACCACTTAAAATAGTAAAAAAAAATTAAGGGAAAGCGTGTCATTTTTTTAAATGGAGAAGCGTCTTCCTCTTATTTTTATTTTTTATTTTATTTTAAGGAAGAAGTGTGTTCATTTTTTTTTAGGAAAAATTGTGTTCATTTTGACTTTCAAGGAAAAAGAGTTATTAGAGTGGAAAAGATAAGAGAAAAAATTAAAAATACCACTTAAAATAGTAAAAAAAAATTATATATATCAAATAAAGCTCTATTTAATTTATAAGAATAATAAAAAATTACAATAATATTTAATTATTTAGAATGACATATATAATAGAGTTAAAAAAATAATGGTTAAATTTAAAATTTTCTTAAAAGAGGGAAATAAATGAAAAGATGCTTCTAATAAAATTCAACATCGTGTTAATACTCAAACATGTTTCGTATTTTAGGTGAATAAATTCAGTATGTTGTTTTTGAATTTATATGATTTTCCTTTTTATGGAGACTATTTGAAAATTAAAATTCAGCATGTTGTTTTTTTTATAGGAAAATCTAAAATTTCCTTAAAAATGTATGGTTTTCTTCTTTGATTGATTATTTTTAAAAAAATTTAGTTAGTAAAATAAATATTTAAGTAGATCAAATTTAAGAGAAAAAAGTTTTTCAGTGTGGGGCTTTTAAATTTAAAAAAGTTTTCTCAATGTAGGATTCTAATATGCCCCTCACGCACAACGTGGACCATGTTAAACCGCTGTGAATAAGTCGATATGAGGGACTCAATATTCCAAAATTAGGTATGCTCTGATACTATTTTATAGAAATCAAATGATATTAGGCTTAACTTACTATAACAAAATCAGCTTGCTATAGGAGGATTGCCCTCACCCTATTAAGTAGATCATGCTAATATTTCCAGCCAATGTGAGATTCTAATATCTACTCACCTCGTTGAACGTGCATGTATTTCTAGTTGTTATCTCCTCAACGCAACCAAACAACTTTGCAGATCTCCCCCGCGCAACTGTGTGTCGCACGGAGGAGATCATACCTCCGACATGATCTTCAGAAAGATCCGTGAAGGACCTCCCCGATTTTCTCTCTAGTGGCCGTGTGGAGATCTCCATGCACCGGCTCAGGGAAATTAGTGATAACTATTTCGTTTTTGTTTGTTTTTCCCTAATTATTGTACTTTTTGTATTTTGTGTACATGTTTGTTTTTCCCTGATTATTTGTTCTCTCTTTTTGCATTTTCTGAAGTTTTTTTCTTTTGGTTTTTCGGTTGGCGACCACCAATAACGGTGATTTCTAAATAATTTTGGTGGTTATCGGTTGGTGACTTGATTATTACTGATTGATAACTGATATCGTGACCAAATACTAGTGACTCGGTTGGCACTAGTGGTTGGTAGCCGCCGACAACTACTGTCGTCAATACTGACAGTTGTCCGCTGAATATTGTCAGATATTTCGGTTGAATATTGATAAATATCTCAGTTAGATACTGATATTGTGACCAAAAACTAATTAGTATCTTAAAAATATATTTAATATTCTAAATATAATGTGATAACATAATTATGATATTCCCTCTAATAATTTATATCACGTGTCATAATTTAATATTAAAACTTGTGGCGCATTCCTTTAAAGCCCACATTTTAGATGCAGCGAATATATCACGATTCCACATTCATTGTGCAGTGGGCTCCACTCCAGTTTTGCTAATGAGTGATCACGCGTTTGATTTTGATGCATATTGGACAATTCGTAAGAGAGAGCTGACCCAAAAGGTTTTTCATAAAAAAAGCTGACCCATAAGGTTCAATCATCTAGATCACAAAATATCAATCCCAAATAAACCACCGCCGATTGTTTGTTGTAATGGCGGGTACTTCTTCTCCGGCAATCTCTGTCTCTTCCAA